CCTCTCTGATTTTGCAAAGCACGCGAGGCAGAAGTTTCACTGGAGGAAAGGCATACTTGCGTACTTTCAGCCAGCTGTGAGCTAGTGAATCCACTCCCAGGGGAGACCGTGTCAGTGAATAAAACAGCGGGCAGTGAGTGTTCTCCGCTGATGCGAAGAGATCCACCTCCACCCTACCGAATACGCTCCAAATCATATTGACTGTCAAAGGGTGCAATTTCCACTCTCCGTGGAACACCCCACCCCTCGACAGTAAGTCTACGCCGTGATTCAGGTGTCCAGGGACATGTACTGCCCGGATGGAGAGGAGGTGTTGATCTGCCCACAGAAGAAGGTCTCTCGCCAGCAGCGGCCGCGAGCTCACACCCCCTTGGTGATTTATAAATGCTGCCACTGTCATGTTGTCCATCCTGATGAGAACGTGACAGTGGAGAATGTCCGGGCGAAAGCACTCAAGCGCTAGGTGTACAGCACAGCGCTCCAGACAGTTTATGTGCCACAACTTCTCCATTTCTGACCACGTCCCGAAGGCTGGTCTGCCGTCGCATCCAGCTACCCAGCCCATGCTTGATGCATCTGTTGTAACAGTCTTTCTCCTGATCACTTGGCCAATAGGAACACCCCGGCGATACAGAGTCATATCGTGCCAAGGGGTCAGCGCTTTCAAGCAGTCGTGTGTTACTCGTACGCACAAGGTGCCCGTGCGCCATGCACTCTGTGGCTCGCAACTTTTCAACCAGAGCTGAAGCGGTCGCATATGTAGGAGTCCTAATTTGCACACTGTTGAGGCGGCAGCCATCTGGCCAGGGGGCCTCTGAAAGCATTTCAGCGGGGGGGGGTGAACTTGAAGACTGCAAGAGAGCTGATCAGTTTTTGTGAGCGCTCCTCTGACAGGCGTGATCGAATATTGATTGAATTCAGCTCCACTCCTAAAAAGGAGATGTTCTGACTCGGTACCAGAATGCTTTTTTGCATATTCACAGTCAGCCCTAAGCTCTGAAGATAAGCGAGGAGTCTGAGCTTGTCGCTGAGCAGCGCGCTCTCTGATTGGGCTAAGACAAGCCAATCGTCGAGATAGTTCAGGATGCACATTCCGCTCTGCTTCAGAGGAGAGAGAGCAGCATCCATGCACTTTGTAAACGTACGAGGGGCCACTGAAAAAACCGAAGGGTAGGACCGTGAATTGGTACACTATCCCCTCGAATGCAAATATCAGGAAGCGCCTGTGGCGGGGGGCTACCTGAATGTGGAAATAAGCATCCTTTAAACCCATAAAGATAAACCAATCTCCCGGTCTGATGTGTGAGATGATTTGCTTCAACATAATCATTTTGAACGAGCGCTTCGAAAGCGCGCGATTCAGTGGTCTCAAATCCAAGATTGGGTGGAGTCCGCCGTTTTTCTTTGACACCAGAAAATAACGACTGTAGAAGCCGCTCTCGTGATCTGCAAGGGGCAGTGTCTCTACAGTGCGTTTTGGGAGAAGATTGTGTATTTCCTCTCGCAGAACTGAGGCATACTGCTCCCATACAGTAGACATTAACACACCATTGAAACCGTGACGGATAACTCGCCGTTGGGGGGAGGGAGTTTTATACCACACGAGTGTGAGAGTGAGTGATGGGGGAGAGGGGAGTGAGAGGAGGAAAATTGCCCTGATATTGAGGTGAGTTTTGTATTTCTTTTTTTTTTACTTTATTGCACTGCACAGTGAAGCAGTCAAAACACAAACATGACAATTGTTCTCGCCGCCCGCAACAGGCAGGGGGACGTGGTGAACACACACAGCGAGCAGACTTCTTCAGTGGCTCGTCTTTGGCGCTGGGTGCAGCTTTCCTCCTCCAAGAGACAGAGTCAGTAACGCAGCTTTGATTCTGTTGCCGGTGGCCTACCGCCTCTGTCAGGGCAGGGCCTCTCGCTCTTCAAGCCCTGATGACGCTTCGGCCATGGCTGTCTTGGCCTCACCGCCGGCTCATGTTCGCACCGAACAGCAGCAGAAGAGGCGTGCGGTCTTCCCGCATGCTGTGCTGAGGAGGAGCGGGAGGCTTCGGGCCGGCGCGTTTTGGCATGAAGTGGCTAATGGCCTTAGACTGTTTCTGCTATTCAACGAAGTGCTCCGTGAACATCTCCACCGATGCTCCAAAGAAACCTGATGGATTCACGGGTGCGTCCAGAAGGGCCGTCTTCTATGAGTCTTTCAACTCAGTCAGGGTAAGCCACCGGTGACGATCCAGCACCACAAGATTCCCCATGTTGCGGCTGATCGCATGAGCTGTAACTTTCGTCGCTCTGAGGGCCAGATCCGTGGTGCATCTGAGCTCTTTGAAAACTTCAGGGTCCAGGCCACCCTCATCCAGAGACTTGAGAAGTTTGGCCTGATACACCTAGAGTATCGACATCACGTGCAATGCTGAAGCTGCCTGGCCAACCGCAGAGAAAGCCTTGCCAGCGAAGATTTGCGGTGGCGCAGCAAGGTTTAAAGGGGAGAGACGCGTTGTTTCTCACTCTCCAGTTCGCCACGGCTGCAGGACAGAGATGGGCAGCGACGGCTTCCTCCACTGGGAGAAGTTTAACATACCCCACTCTGTCAGTGCCGTCCACAGATGACAGGAGGGAGAATTGTGCACTTGACTGGTGAGTGCTGCGTTCCATGACTTTGCTATTTCATTGTGCACCTCCGAGAAAAAGGGGCCGGGCCTCTGCGGTGTGTCCTTTCGGACGCGGTCCGACTGGAGGTACCACTCGTCCAGACGGCTTCTGGCCTGCTCGGCAGGAGGCGCCCACTCCAAACAAAGCTCATCAACCGCCTTGGTCAGGACGCGTAGGAGCTCAACATCACTATGATGGAGGTCCCCCGCGTCGCTACTGTGGGGCGCAGTGTAATCCAGCGGGCTGTTGGACCACTCCTCCCTCACAGACGCTGCCACCAAAATGGCATCATCTTCATCCTCAGCATCCTCCATGGCACAAAAGACATCACATCTTGCATGCCGGGGGAGGGACGGAAATCAGCGGTCATGAAGTGCACTGGAAGGGAACCTGCACCAGGGGGGTGAGGAGCGCGTGGGCACTGAGCCGGTGCGAGCTCGTCACCTGACCCAGACAGATCCACATCGGAAGCTCGCGTCACTTTACTCTTTGGCTCAAAAGAGGTTGCAGAGAAAGAGCTAGTTGGGTGAGTTCATCGCCTTGGACGATGGCCACACGGAGCCTGAGAGTCCAAAGGCTCATATCTCCGCAGTGGGGGCAGTCCGATCCCCCAAGCGCCGCCTCTTCGTGCGACCCAGGCAGAAGACGCACGATTTGTGGCCATCGGAGAGTTCGATTGGCTCCGCGTAGGAGAGGCAATAACGAGAGGTCATCCTTGTCCAAAGCTCACCAGAACACAGCAAGGGAGAGAAGGCGTGTCCGCTGCAGCGTGTAGATCACGGTGAGTACTCTTGCTGATAGGCTTCTTGTTTCTCGTAGAAGGTTGGCTGAAGGAAAAATTCTGAATGAATGACGTTCAAGCGCTGCCTTATATAGAGTGGGAAGCCCCTCATATTTCGCGTGCTTGAACGCCATTGGCCAGTTTCACTGGGGTGATTCAATAAGGCTTCAGTAGTATTTGGAGGAAGGGTTTCCCCATAAGCATAGTAATGCAATGTCGAAGTGAACGAATCGAAAGGGAACACCTATCCCAGTTTGAAAACGCCCAATAATTGAGAAACGCCCCCTTATTGTACTAGCAGAGACCCATACTTGATCCGCTTGCCCGGAAGCTTCCACAACTGATTTTAGATTTACAGAAACTTACCGTTGTTTGTGAAATATAAATACCCGCAAACTCACAGATATACGAGGATGTTGTTTAGAAGTCTTATTTTTTATGTTACTGATTCAGAGTAGGCTATGCTGGAACTGTTACAGGCATACAGGTTACAGGTTGGTTCTTTGCAGTGCAGGGATATATGCTGGCAATCTTCCAGCTAAACCATAATTAGGCTGCGTGTCCACCAAAGCGTTTTTTGCGAGCTGAAAACTCCAGGCGCTCTGTTGAAAACGCCCAGCTGTAAGCGCTTGAGAGCACAGCGCTTTTTTCCGTTGAGACACTGTGGTTGCTATGATACGGAATATCCGCTGAAGTAATGGCAAACGCATAGCGAATTAAATGTTTCTCCAAGCATTATTTTTTATTACAATATTATGGTAGTCCGGCAATTTAATCTGTTAAAGACGTGCCCGTTCCCATTGAGAACAACTGAAAAAATACGCTAGCCACGGAGAAAAACGCTTTGGTGCACATGCGGCCTTTAAGTTACGTTGAAATAGAAATAGTCACAGATCTGTGTGATTTATAATTATAAGGTCAATTATAACTCACATATTTTTCACATATGTGAAAAAACATTAATATTTTTGATTTAGTGATTAAAGACACTCTCCTCTATAGCAGTTTATACAAATGTTCTACATAAGTGTGCACATGGTCATTCCCTCCTCCCTCTATGTGAAAATGCCCAACTTACATCATAATTAGAATCATGAGAACCTGTTTTTTTTGTAGAGTGTGGAAGGGTTTATGTCTAGAATTTGTGGTTTCTTCGCTCAGAGGGACAAAACCAAAGTGGTGTCTATTTTAGTCTTTCATGATATGATGAATAATATTAGCCTATATATTATGTGCTTTGCTAATTTAATTTCCGTTACTGCATTCTGATACCTTATTCCTGTGGCCTAGTTTTATTCTTTACATATTTTACAAACATTTGCATAATCTTTACAGAATGTGAGTTCTGTTTTTTTATTCTTAAAACATTCTTCATTTAAGATCAGCTAAACAACTTAAGACATACAGAATACGCTTGAGAATGTGAGGGTGAAGTACATTTTTGCAGTGATTAAATTAGTTTGGTAATTTCTAAGGACACAGGCTTATGTTGTTGTTGTCCCTCCCTGCTCCCTGATGCTTCCCTGTAGTGTTCTGCACACAAGACCATCTCATTTTCTTTACCTCACAGATTTAGTGAAGCATGTTAACTGCTAGAGAGGAGGAAAGTAGACTGTTTTCAGGATGATTTTAGGTAAGCATCTGTTAGACGGATGACTAGTTTTATCTTATCCCTTACGTTTTATGTTTTACATGTTTATAATTTGGTTAGGATTTGCCTTGCTGTTTGTTCTTACGGATGTAACAACAGAGTTTGGGACTACACCAAATCTTAAACAGATTGTCATTGGACGGTGTTTTGAATATGTAACCCTGGCTAATCTCAACCCCAGGTAAGATGTGGGCCTATAAGCATTTTAAATGCTAATATTGTTCATTTTAACCCAGTGTCTTATAAGCAATACATTTGAAATTACTCATAGGAAAATGCAATAATATATTTTTTATGTAGTCAGTCTCTCACATGATTTCATAAACTTGTTTAGAGAAAAATGTCAGATCTGTATCTGTCTTATTACTTTCACTTTCATTAGCTAATATTGCATTGAGTCCTTAAAAATGCAAACTGGAGAAATGTTTAACATTTCTGTCTAACAGGTACAATTGTGAGAAGATATGGCAGGAGTTTGAAAAGGCTGTGGTTAGGAGATCACCCTGCGATGTTAGAGTTAAAGATTACCAAAAAATGTTCCAGGTCATCACTCAGACTTTACCATGTGGCAAGGTGATTCCATGCAATTGTTTTCAAAACAACTCAACAACAGTATAGAAAGTTTTTAGAAATATTTATTAAATATGTATATTTAGCATTAAAAGCTAAAAATAAAACTGGGCTCAAGAACAGAGTGTGAATTAACTTCGTATTTTAAGTAAAAAATAAAGCAAAAACAACAACAAAGACCCATCCTATAAGGAAAAAGACATGTTGGTTTGTGTTATTTTTGCATTATGTATGTATGTATGTATGTATGTATTTATTTATTGTTTGTTTGTCAGAGGCCTGTTGCACAGAAAGGTTTTTGTTTTTTTTGTTTTTTTCTCTCTGGCATTAGAAGGTGGACTGGTTTTTAGCAGTGTTCAGGGCCATGCCCAACCTGCTCCAGGGCACATTTTGTTCTTTTTGTTCTTTTATTCTGTTTACAGTGAAAGTGTTTTAGAGACAAAATCGATCAGTCTTTTTCTGATAATAATTTATTATATTTTTAATATTAATTATATTATTCAATTGTATATTCTTAATGAATCACATAAAAGCAAATGTCAATGTAAAATGTCTATATAACCCTGTTAAAATTCCTGCTTTTTAAGATGTAAAATATACCTCCATGTAAAATAATGTCAGATTATTTTTTCTTCCACATTTAACGGAATATTGAAACCAGCAAATAAATAAATTAATTAATTAAATGCCTTAAAAAATGCCAGCTGTGTATAGACCACAATCTGAGACTTACGGCTCTTCAGCTCCATCACGGTCCTCAGGGTTCCTGACTCCACCTTGGCAATTCTATCCCTCACATCCACCGACTCTGCCTCCGTCTTCTAAGCCCCCATGCAGTTCCGCCTTGGTCCTCCGACTGTTCATGTCCACCTTGGTCCTTGATACTTCTGCTTCCGCCTGGGTCTCTATTTCCTCTGGCTCCAACGCTGTCTTCTGATCCACTGGTTCCACCATGGTCAACGGTTCCTCGGATAATGCTGTGGATCGTCATCCCTCTGGCTCCAACAGGTTCTTACACCTCGATGGTTCTGCTGTGACCTCTTCCTCCAATGACTCCCCATGGTGATCTCCCCTGTTGGCTCCTCCGTTCTGGTCTTCAGCTCTGCCATGGTCCCTTCCTCCATTGGCTCCACCATGGTCATATCTTTTGTCTGCTCCTCTGAGGAGGTCTCCATCTCCGCTGGCCATCCAGAGGTCTCATCCTCCGCCAGGTGAAAAGAGCTGTACACAGGAGATCCCCCTGCAATGTGATAAATCCAGAGTTCTTTTTTTTTTTTTTTTTCAAAAAATTGAAGACTGGCTGTTGTACTAAAAGCAAAAGTCTTTTATTTTTATTTTTTCCTTAAAGGTTTCTGTTTGTTTGTTTGTTTGTTACATGAATTTTGTAGGTTTCAATATTACATTAAAGATGGAAAAAGTTCTGACATGATTTTAATTGGATTCATTTTTTTTTTACGTCTCAAAAAGCTGCAATTTTACCAAGGGCGTGTAGACTTTTTATACGCAATGTAGTGGCTGTTTTTTTTGTTTGTTTTTTACTAACTCCAGTCTCTTGAGAAAATGTAACTACTTTGCAATTTTGTGTGAATTCTTACAACGTAGTTTGTATGAAAGTGTATGATTTGTATGAAAAAAAGTAAGCTCCATCCCTAACCCCCACCTTAAATCTATCCTTCATTTGAGTGAGTGTAGAGGTTGTACAAATTCATAAAAAAATTGCAACAAATCAAAAAAGTTACAAATTGTTGTGAGATTCTGTTGAACTGACTAGATATCTCTTGGATTTGATTTATTTAATTTAAAAACATTCTAATAATTTTAAAGTTGCTGTTCTGGAGTAAGACAAGAGACCTCATGCACAGCTATGTAGCTGTCACAGGATCCTTCTGGACGTTAGAAGACACACTGCTGGGATTCATGTTCAATGATCTGATCTGGTGTGGACAGCAGGAGAGAGAGAGAGGTACCACCAAAAGATGGTACAATTACTAGTTTTATTGATGATAGATGGAAAGAAAACATTCAATGCTTGAATACATTTTATAGATATAAATCATTTATAGGCTACTAAAGCACTCTTTCTCTTTGTCTGCCCTAAGGTTTTGACTATCAGTCCTGTCCAAAATGGTCAGCGTGTTTGAACCATCCTGTGTATTCACTTTGGAAGCAGGCTTCTCAGAATGTAAGCCTTGTTAATTCCATATTATTAAAAACATATATAAACTATATGTCACAAAACTGTATACTAGCTCTCAGCCGACCAGCAGTGTTGTCTAAATGGTAATTCTATTTTTTTTTATCAAAATGGAATTCAGCTACATTAATGCATATCATTGGTTTGAATCTGTCTTTGCAGTTTGCTATGACTGCGTGTGGAAATATTACAGTCTTGCTAAATGGATCAATTCATCATGCTTTCAACAAAAAAAGGTGTGTATGCTTGCTTTGTATATGCTTACTAGCTATAATGTGAAACATGATGAGAATGGTTTTGGTCCTTTGAATATCTAAATTAATTTGATTTTATGGTTTAAGATGTTCTTAGTAAAAACTGAGATATAGCCATAAACTGAATTGCTTACCAACATAAAAAAAATTGCTTTCACTTTTTCAGTAACCTAGTATGAATTCTTAGGTGCTATTTCTAATACAGTACAGAAAAGTTTTCGCTCAAACGTTTGGGGACATATATGACATGTTTTATATCAGATCATCGTCTTGTTTAAACTTAGGCTGTGTCTTTACCTTACCATCCACCATGAAAACTTAAAATACTTAAAGAAATATTCGGGGTGTAGTACAAGTTACACTCAGTCAACAGCACTTGTGTCATGATATTGATTGCAATTAAAATTAATTCCCACTTTTCCTCCTTTATTATTTAAATTATTGAAATGGGATCTCATAATGCATCTGCTGATGCTATGGAACGCCCTCAGCATGGCCGGTGTCTGAAGTATGTCATAAACATAGCAATCTTTGATTGCAAGTCAAGTTGGCTGAGGAATTCTGTAGCAAATTAGCTCAAAGGGGAAATATTCATTATTAATTATAACTGGTTATAATACATTATAAATAGGTATATCGAGCCGATCTCAAGGATCGGGATCGGGAACGATCAAGCATTTTTTAGCTGTTTGGTATCAGCTCTCCTTAAGCCCGCTCCTTATTTTATGTCAGCTGTCATGCAAGTGACGTGCAGTAGGTAGCAGTATTCACTTTCCAGTAGATTTGCCAACCGGCATTAAAAGCAAAAGAAGACGCTCAAATGTGCCCATTCAGCCGTTATTAAAACTAAGAAGAAATATGCATGCATGGCGTGCATCAACCTGTGAAGTCTGTTCTAGTCTGTCACACACATTTGAGCTTCCGTGTTCAATGTATGTGATTTGCACTTTTGTAACGATCACTCATTCATTTATTGTTTACTTTTATCTGCCGTCAGACTATCTGAGATGTCGCTGTCGTAATGCGTTGCTCTGGATTGCGTCTTGCTTTGGATTTGCCTGACAGACTGGCGTTCTGACAACACAGGCTTCATTCTTTCTAACTTTATAATTTTGTACCTTTATGTTGCAATTATTCTGCTTATTGTATATATAAAATACAAGTTTACTTCAGTATTCCAATATTCTACCAATGTCTTTATACAGTATGTGCACATATATACATAGAAATAGTGTATCTTATATATGTATACACACACATAAAGTAGATATATTAGTTTTACTCTCTGCACAACTCTGTATACATTGGGTTGATTTTAATAGATTTAATGTACTTGGATTGTGCATCAACACTTGGATTGTGCATCAAACACTAGGAATATACAAGTATTCAATCAGGTCTCAGATACTCAATATTCAATGTCTTGGAATGGGGGCACAAAAAAAACACGTTTCCCTGAGAAAATTGAACGAGCATTGCATAGAACGCATTTGGGGAAACTCCTGTTTACTCTATTACTGCAGCCTGATTTGTTCACGTTTATGTAGCTGCACAAACCAATGGCATTCTAGTCTACCAGAAAGGGCAGAGCTGACCTCTATACAAGTCGGGTCCAAGTGCCACTTTATCAGAATCTTTTGACTGAAGTGACAGCCATCAATTAGAGTGCAGCTTATAGCATAGCAAGTGATGCAATGCTCGTTCCCTTATCTAAGGGAACCAAGGTTGTGTTAGTAACCGGAGCATTCCCTTTCGACCGGTGTCTCCCGTTGCATAGAACACATTTGGGGAACGCATCCAATCATGCCGTGCAGTGCAGAACCAAGCCTGCTCTTTGAGCCCAGCCTCGGGTCACCCAAGTTAAGGAATCCTAGAACGCATGAGCAAAGTTGAGACCCAGGCCGATAGGATTAGGACCACAAGACATAACCCTTTTCCGTCCTTGGGGAGAAATATGTATTTTAAGAGGACAAAATCCATGCCGGCAGGGACATCTAAGCTATAGAATCTGGCAAAGAAGGCAATGACCAGTCAGAGGCCGAATAAATCTCACTGATAAAAATTCTGCTAGACCATGCCCAGAAGGAGGCCATTCCTCTAGTGGAGTGGGCCCTCAAACCTATGGGGCACTGTGAGCCTACTGAGGTATAAGCCAAGGCTATGGCATCTACGATCCAGTGAGAAAGTCTCTGCTTCATGACTGGTAGACCTTTAGAGCAGCCTCCGAAGCAAACAAAGAGCTGCTTTGATTGTCTAAACAGACTAGAGTGCTTGACATACACTCCAAGAGTCCTTACTGGGCAGAGTGGATTGGGGCCCTGCTCACCATCTGCAGTGCAGAGTGCTAGAAGAGTGATAACCTGAACTTTGAACGGAGTTGAGAGCACCTTAGGTACATAACCATGTCTTGGCTTGAGGATGACTTAACAGTCTTTAGGCCCAAACTCAAGACAGGAAAGCACTGACTGACAGTGCCTGCAAGTCACCTGCAGTGCCACTCGTTTGACCGACACTAAAGCCAATAGGAGGGCAGTCTTAAGCGTCATGGGAAGCAGTTCGGCAGAATAGAGCAGCTTGAAGGGAGGGCATTGTAGGGCCCCTAGAACTTTGGACAAGTCCCAGGTTGGCATAGTACAAGGAAGGTTCAACCTCCGAGCTCCCCACAAAAACTTAACGACTATGCCATTTCTACTGATTGGCCAGCTTCGATAGAATGGTTCGCTGCGATAGCTGCTACATAAACTTTGAGTGTGGAAGGGGCTCACCTGTTGTCCAGAAACTCTTAAATAGGCTATTTTAGCAGTGGCTAAGTGGCTATTTTAAATAGCCTAATAGAAATTATATTAAGAACATGTGAGAATAGCCCTGCTCACCATCTGCAGTGCAGAGTGCTAGAAGAGTGATAACCTGAACTTTGAACGGAGTTGAGAGCACCTTAGGTACATAACCATGTCTTGGCTTGAGGATGACTTAACAGTCTTTAGGCCC